TGTAGTGAGGAGTGTAGGAATCCCCGTTCTCAGGAGGACTGAGGAGGACCAAAGCTGGTCCATTTCGGATGGGCTCAGGTCTGCCCCCCCAAAAAAAGACTTACGTGCCACTCTGGACGCGGACAGAGGACACCTTCTCCTGGTAGCCATGAGCGTAGAAGCTGGGCACATCGTCATCAATGATCTCTATTTTCTTCCCGGTGAAGCTGGGATTCTCATAGAGGACGATCTTGTGGTCCTGGCTGTCCTAGAAGGGGAAGCCACGCCAGACCACGGTCGGTGGGAGGAAGCCAGAAGGAAAGGGCAACACGTTCAGCCCAGGAGAAACCACGAGAGGCAAGGAAGGGTGAAGGAGGGGGAGGACCGGAGGTTCGGGCTTCGCTGCAAATCCTGGCAGCACCATGGAACCGGGAAGGGCCCACTGGGCAAGGAAGCCGCCCTCTTCCCCAGCATGGTCTACCTCACAGGGTTGTGCGGTGGATGAGTGTCGGTGGAAGAACTCTTATGTAGAGAGTAGGGGGACAGAGGTCAAAGGAGACAGGCCCAACTGCCAACCCCAGCACCATGGCTCACCCGATGCCGACACCACCTGAGAAGAGGGCCCCATCCCTCCTCCCCAGGAGTCCCCAGAGCATCCTGCTTACCACTTTGACTGGCCTGAAGGCCCAGACGCAGTCACTCCTCCGGCTGTTGGTCCAGGCGTCCCAGCGCGGGTACTCGCCCTTCTCAAAGACAAACTGCTCCCCTTTGCAGTTGGGCTGCTCGTATCCCACCCACCTGCAGAGGGGAAGGGGGGAGGGAGAGGAAAGGCTGGGTCCACGGAGCCAGGTAGGGAATTCACAGAACCTGGAAAAGGGACCCCCAGGGGCTGATGTGGGGGCCCGGGGGTTGGGGTCCAGATGGGGATCCAACTTTTCATCTGCTGTGCCTGCACAGCGTGGAGCACGGATGTGCTGTAAACGCAGAAGGAGCCCAACTCCCAGTCTCCCCCTCTCGGGCCCTGGTCCCTGGTGGGTGGGGGGTGGTGGCCCCACCTCTACCCCCACCCCCACCCACACCCCTTCTATCCTCCGTCCTCAGACTTACGGCCCGGAATACACCAAAATGGACCCGACTTTCTCCAGCCCAGCCTCCTTCAAGTTGTGACAAGTGGCATTCAGCTCATGGCATCGGCCCTGGAAGTTCTCCTGTTCGAAGATCACAATCTGGAAGTGGACAAGTGGGGGGGTGAGGGGGGATGGAAAGGAGACTGAGACAAAACTGGCAGGGAGGCCATGGGAGATGCCAGGCTGAGCACGGGGGGGAGGGGGAGAACCGGATTCCCCAGCCCTGGCTCTTGTTGAAAACACAGCTCGTGGCCTAGCCCTACGACTCTCTCGACACCTTTCATGTGTCTTGCGTGAACCGAGTTGGCCTTGAAGCCAAAAGGGTGCGATTCGGAGTGCCAAGACTTCTCCAGGGTGCCTGGGAATGCCTGACCCTGATGCTGGGAACAGCTCCAACAATTCAGACACACACACAAACACACACAAACACCCCAAGGATGCCACAGCACGGCTTCAGGGCACAGCTCAGCCCGTGGCTTGGGAAATGGCCCTGCTTTTGCAGCCAGGGTGCACCAGTGTTACTTTTTGAAATCCATATAATGAGTCACTTATTAAGCTACTTTTAAGCGATATTTCTGTAGGTTTGTTTTTTCCGTATTGTTTGGCTTTGCTTTGTTTTGGGGGCAGTAATGAGAAGCTCATCAAGCAACACTGCTAATTGCTTTGTAAGCATGGCCATGTGTAATGACAACTGTTTTCAAATTCTGTCACAAGTAAGGGGAACAAATTACCTTTAAGAGGTAACTTTCCAAACTCGGGACTAGGGTTAGGGTTAGGGCAGGTAGGACACACTCATTGCCCAGCGGGACGGCCAGAGGCATCCCCAGACCATTTCCCGTTCCCTCTGCACATCTCCCTCCCTCCGGGCATTCCTCCTGCCACCATAGCCTGCCCCCGCCACACATACCCTTAAGGGGCCCTTTTGGGGGCCAGGAGTCTTTAAGGTCTCCCCCACCTGGGCTGTTCTTTGCAGCACATTGGAAAGGCAGGGGGTGGGTGGGGGGAGGTTAACAGGATGAGGAAGGTTTCATCCTGTAGTAGCCCCAGCAACATGGCAAGGGCCTCCTTCCAGCCAACGAGGGTGCTCGGCTAAGGGCAGAGAGAGACACAGAGGATGCTGCATCATAGTTTGGTTCTAAACATGTATTTAATATATCATCGATTTGATGTAGTTTTATCCCACCTTTCTCCTTCAAAAGGACCCATTTCAAGTTGATTTTAAAATCAAATCGAAAAAGCCTCCTCCAAAACCCTTCCTCCCCCTTCTTGGGCTGAAGTCAGAAAGCAGCTCCGTGGTGCTTTCTGCTTTGGGCAAATTCCCACTTTGGCAAGTTTGTCCCAGGATCTACCCCCCCACACACACCCCACTGCCCACCCCCTCACTGACCTTGGAGCCAGCGGCTTGCTGTTTCGATGCTTGGTGATCCGAAGCCATGATGAGGAGGGGGAACTGCTCCTTGGGAAGAGAGACTGCGTTAAAGGACCACAAGGGTCAAGAGCGCGTCAGGATCTTAAGGATCTTAAAGCTTGGGGGGGGGCAACTTTCCGCATCCCTCGGCAGCCCAGACCAACAATGTGCTAGAACCGGGCCCAAGCTCTGTGACTGCCTTGTCAGGCAGGATCCTTCCTGAGGGCCACTCTGATTCCCCCCCCACACACACACACTGGGTGCAATGGGGGGGGAGCACCCAGAGCAAATGGAACTAGCCCTGGTGGTCTGGGCTGGCAGAGTCCGCCAGAGAAAGTCCTGCAGGAAATTCTCCTGCCTGCCGGGCAGAGTCTGACCCCTTGAAGGGCACATCCACTTCCTACAAGAGAGGTTTCACCATGTTTCTATGGGCATGGGTCAAACCCTTGAAGGGTGAGAGAAGAGAGAGAGAGAGAGAGAGTATGGGACCCAGAAATCATGTATCTTTTTACCAAAAGGCATTAACCATTTTGCTAAAAAAAACGGGGGGGGATGATACTTGGGGACAAGGAGAGCAAGAGAAAAAGCGAGGGAGGGAGAGCAAGACTGGGGTCAAGGATTTGCACTCTCTTGGGGCGGGAAGCGGTTGGCCTCTCCATGGACAAGAAGAGGGAAGAGGCCACCGTGGGCCAAGCAGCCAGAATTGGGGGGGGGAGGGCTCGCAAGATCCAGCTCTGCTCCCTGCTTACAGGTCCTTGGAAAACAGAGCAAGAGGTGGAGGGACTGGACTGGACTGGACCGGGCGGGGAGGCTGGGGAGCCTGGAACCAGCTCCCAAAGGTTACCTCCATCTCTCCACCCCCTCATCCTTCCCTGCCCTCGAGGTCCTTGTTTTTGTTTTTTTCTTCTTTGGCCTGGCTAAATTCTAACAGCCTGGCGGTCCTTTTTTCTACAGGATGTTCCAACCTGGATAAGAAAGAAGAGGACCAGAAAGCTGTAAAGCCCGAGCAGGGAGGCAAGAATGCAAGCGGGAGAGTCTTACCCGGCGGCGGCACCAGAGTTTGCTTCTGCCACTGAAAGAGCAGCGGCCGAGCGGCAGAATTTATAGGCGGCGGTGGCATCCCCACCCCGGCAGTATTTATCAAGCTCACGAAAGTGTGATCAAAATCGAGAATACTGGATTAAAAGGCAATGAAAACCAAGGTCAGCTGACCCTTGGCGGCCTTTTGTCCCACCAAAGACCGGGAGCAGAGTTATTTCATGAGCTTTCAGTTTGGCGTTGGGGCTTTGTCGGGTCTGTGGGCAAGGAGAGCCGGTTTTGTCGACCTCAGCAGGGTCCGTGTGCCAAGCCCCTGGGCATCGCCGCTCTGGAACAATGCCGCTCCCGGCCCGAACTGGCCCGAGGGCCGTGTCAACCGGAGACGGTCACCCAGCGACAAACCCAACAGCCCCCCCCCCCGGCCCGTTTGGGGGAAGGAAACAAAAAAGCACCAAGATCAGCATCTGTCGGGAGGTGGAGGTTTGTTTTCATTTTGGGGAAGGGAAGAAGAAGAGCCTCTTTCCCCAACTTTGTGCCTTTTGTCCTGGGCGCCCCTCCTGCCAGTTCAGCCAAGGGGAGAGAAAGCGCACGCGCACGCACACACACACACACGGCCAGCCTGGAGGGCCAGGAAGGCTCCAGACGGTTCACCCTGGGGACCCGAGCAGGGCCCGTTCAGAGGAGAAGGCGTGGAGGTGGAGCCGCACGCAGCACCTCACACCCTTTTCAGATCCCCCTCAGCTGAAAAGAGGGCCAGGGGGGTGGAAGGGGTGGAGGTGGAATGGAGGGTGACAGACTCAGGGGAGCTGGGTTCAAATTCCCCACTCCATCACGGAAGGGAGGTGCCATGGCAAAGGCAACACCTCTTCGTCAATCTCCCACAGGGTTTGAAAACCTTCTTAGGGTGGCCCCAAGTCCCCACAGGGCTTGAGGGGAGGCAACCTGACCTCCCAGAGCATCCAGCAGAAGATCATGCCAATAGGAAAGGGGAAACCCATCCAAAGGGGAGGCCTCTCTCGGGCGCTCAAGCGTTCCCTGCCAGCCCTGACGGGGGCCAGAGGGAGCACGAAGGGCTCAGAGAAAGAGGACGCCAAGGAGGGGTGGGTGGCTGGAAGGAAGGAAGGGGGCAGAGTGACCAACTGGGGGGCCACGGCGTGCCCGGGATCAAACCCCCCTCTCCCAGAGAGTGTGTCTGTCGTCTGGGCCTCTTCTCCCTGTCCCAGAGCAATGAGGCTGTTTACAACGGCAGGGGCCATGGGGCAGCCCTCCAGGTGTGGGTGTGGGACTCCGATTCCCAGCAGGCCTGGGTTTGCTGAGTGAGCAGTTCAGCAACACCAGAAAGGCCGCCGGCTTTCCAGCCCGAAACTGGAGGTTCTTCCCCCTTTGATTCCAGAGAATGCCCCCAACACCCACCCACCCGCACACCCCTCTTTGGGACCCAAACACCCGTTCCTCTGTGCTCCTTCCGTGATACTGGTGATACTGGGGCAATGCGCATGGCCGCCCCCCTCTGTTGTCCTCTGGAAGTAGGGGTTCCTCTCAAAGGGAACCATCCGGAAGCCATCTGGTCTCTCCCTTCCGCCCCCCAAAAGCCGGACTCCTGGCCCTTCCGGCTGGACTCTGAAGGCAGCCTCTCTTGACCACTTCATGAAGAGGGCTGAAGGATTCCTGTCCCTTCAGCCTCAGGGAAGATGCATCAGCCAGATCCTGACCCCACTCCCACAAAGCACCAACAGTCCTTGCAGGAGGAATCCCGTGGGGACAACTTTATGTGAGGGTCAGGGTTAGGGTCAGGGTGTGACCAGCTGTTGACGCTGGAGGCCGCCTGCCTTTGGCAGCCCCGGGAGCTCTCAAGCGCAGCTTGGAAATAATTCATCACACAGGAATCTGTTGTGATTGATTCATTAAAATTCTAGGCAGCAAATTTAACATGCAGTCTTCCACACTTCTCCCTCGAATTACGTGCAGCACTGTTTTGTCTAGGCATGGGTGGGTGTTTTTGGAAAACCCCTCCCTCCCTCCATACTGTGCTGCTACTCATCTCCAAGACGTGGCCTGAGAAAGGTGGACCTTGGGCTGACCGTGACATTGGCCGATCTGAAGGCAGTAGCCCTATAGGGGGGGCCCTCCCCGCCACGGAGGGTGCTGGGGCATGTCGGGATGCTGGCACAGGTTGGACGGGGGAGAATCTCTGTGTGTGTATCAACTGTTGATGCTTTGTAGTTGCCCTTTGGGGGGGGCACAAGAGTTCTACATGGACTCTGAGCTACACGGGGGTCTGGCAGCCCTCACCCCGGTGCTGTTGAAAGGAAAGGTGGGCTCTTCCGAAGGGCCAGCTGTTTCTCCCGGCCTTAGCTTAGGGCAGTGGTTGTCAGTCACGGAGGAGAGCTGTTCTGGGGTCTCTTGGGTGATGTTTTAAAGTGGACTCATCCAAAGAGGTGATGAACCAACCAATTAAGAGAAACCCTACCCCTTCCATGCTCTTCTTTCCAGGCAGCTCCCTGTGACTGGTTTGTGGTGAGAGCAGTGGCTTTTTCAAAAAGTGCTCCCTCCTCTTTGAATGCAAGGTGCCTCAGAGCGGTGTCCCATCTAGGCCCCTGACGCCTGAACTGACTGGCACCTGCCTGGTCCCCCCCCCCCCAGGAAGGAAGAGCTCTCTCTCATCTTCTGCTATCATTGGGAGATGGCGGGAGCGGACCTGCTCCATCCTGCAGGCAAAGTGCAGCCTCTCCTGGCAGGCCTGGAGGAAACAGACCTCTGCCAGGCTGGGTTCTCCAAGTGACCAGCATGTTAGCAGGCGGAGGGAGGGAGGTGGAATCCTGCACATGCCGCACACCTAGCCCCACAGTGGGTTTCGTGGCTGGTTTCATGGAGCCCTTGTGGGGGGGAACCGCTCCAAGCGGGAGGGCCCTTGGGTGTCTCATGGGGGTGCCCTGTGAGCTTCATAGGAGCTCCTTGGGGCAACGCTGGGGGGGGGGAACGTCAACTTAAACCAGGAGATGCC